GCCGCGCCTGCCCCACCTTCTCCAAGATGGCAGCCTTCAACGAGAGGGGCCTGCTGTGGTGCGGCACGTGCCGCTCCAGCCGGGGCTCTGGCACCTCCCTGCAGAGAAAGCGGCCATCAGCAGCCTCCAGCACCCAGCCCTCACCCACCTTGGCAAGAAGGGAAGTGGGGTCGCTAAGCTGGACTTTGGGCATGAACAAACATCTGCATCCATGGCTGGTGGTCTCCTGCTCCCCCACAGATGTGAGACCAATGCTGGGCCAGGGCGGAGCCAGGAGGGGGGGTCAGGGTGGGGGCTGCAGCACCCTCCTGCCCTGGGGCAGCCGGGCTCTTGAGGGGACCACTGTGCCCAAAGGCTGCCTTGTCCCGTTGGGTTTGCTTTGCTTGTACCATTACCTGTGCAAAAGCCCATGTTTAAGCCCAGCCTGGCAACCTCCTCTGGACAGGTGGTGGGGTGACAGGCAGCATCAGCATGGGCGGCCATGCCAGGAGACTCTGCCTGGAGCAGGGGAAGGGATGCATCGCCCTCCCACCACAGCCCAGCAGCAGGCTCACGGTCCCACACCCACGGCCATCTCAACATGGTGTTGGGATCCCCTTAGCAGAGTATTTTGGGCCACAGAGGCTGCCATGGTGCCAGCGGGGCACCCTGCCAGGTGTGCAGGGTGGGGCCTGAGGTGGGATGTGGGGACACTGAGGTCCCCCCCAGCCCCACTCCATCTGTGGGCAGCATGGGCGAAACACTCCCGGGCGTACGCATTGATCCAGGAAGGAACGTCCACCCTAGTCCCCCAGCCAGCACCCCCAAGCTGCACTTACCCGTGAGCATCATCCTCGGGGCCCTCCCCATCCACCTCGAGGGTGCTGGTGACATAGACGGACATGCTGGGGTGCTCAATGAGCAGGTCCTCCATGGGGCTGCTCCCCACGCCACCTGGGCTGGGCCCTTCTGCAGTAAAACAGGGGGGAGGGGTGACAAACCAACTCTCATCCATCAAGCAGGGACCAGCCGGAGCCAGGGAAGCAGCAGGCAGCAGTGGTGGGCTGGGGGGTGCTGGGCGGGATCGCGCTGAGCGCCCAGTACCACCAGCACACACTCGGCGGGCTGTGCCAGGGTGGGCACAGCTGCCTGGGGATGGCGGGGGTGCAGAGCCATGCGGGGCGCAGCGGGGACACACACACATACCATGTACAATGGGGAGGGAAGGGGGGAGAGAAAGGGGCATCGTTAGTACAGGAGACACCCCACCACCATCACCACCGCCAGAGACGGGCATGGCCTCAGCAAGACCTTGTGGGGAGGGAGGTGCCAGCGGTGCCCTGCACCGCACCCCAACCAGCACCCTCCACACCAGGGCGGCTGCTGGCACTGCTAAGCCAGCAAGCAATAGAAATGGTTCCAGTTAGGCGGTTTAACCCAAAAGTGGGGGAAAACTGCAGGTTTTTTCTTTTTGCCTTCTCAAAACGAAGGAAGAAATTCAGCCAGCAAGAAACGCTGCTTTTGCCTGTTTTTACAGCACCTGCAGCGCGCTGTGCCGCCCCGGAGGAATGCCAGCCCGCTTGCGCTTGCAGACACCGCCTGGCACTTTGCAAACATTGAAACTGAGCACACACACACACATATAACAGAGGAAGAAAAACAGTTCACACCTTTTTTTCTGGAGGAAACCAGGGGAATAAATCCTTCAGCAAAGGTTTTTGCAGCTCTTTCAGCTTCAGTCCATTAGCAGATGGGTTTTGGGGGGTTGAGCCAGGAGCTGACACATATAACAGAGGAAGAAAAACAGTTCACACCTTTTTTTCTGGAGGAAACCAGGGGAATAAATCCTTCAGCAAAGGTTTTTGCAGCTCTTTCAGCTTCAGTCCATTAGCAGATGGGTTTTGGGGGGTTGAGCCAGGAGCTGCCCCCCCCCCACCGACACC